TCAAGGTTATCACCTGGCTAGGAGTTGATGGACCTGGATTTGCATTGTCTTCTTTGGAGCAATTGAATCCTTTCAGTTCCGTGGATTCTTGCTCTGTGGTGTGATCCTGAGCCAGTCCTGTGACCTTCCTGTGCTTTGGGGTCTCCTGTTTTACCACTCCCTCCTCCCACCATGATCAAGACTGGAAAGACACTTGACTTTAAAAGCTTAAGGAGTAGTCCTCTGTACCTAGATCCCAGCTGAGTGTGATTATTCAGCATCCTTTTAGTATCCAAAATTTAGACAATAACAATGTCTAAATAGTGTCCATGTCATGCACACTTACTATGTTCCAGGCACACTATTATCATTAATAGAGACAAACAATGGTGCTATGTTAGTATTATCTTTTTTTTTTTTTTTTCCTTTTTTTGTCTTTTTTCGTGTCCGGCAACGGATCGCAACCCTCAGTGTCACGCCCGTACCGGACCAGGACCGGCAACGGGATCGCAACCCTTGGTGTTGCGCCCGCACCTCGCTCAGCCAGTGAGCAGGAACCGGTCCGTATGTGGGATCTGAACCCTCGGCGGGAGCGCCGCCGCGCTCCCAAGCAGTGCACTGTAGCAGTGCGCCACCGGGCCGGCCCCATATGTTAGTATTATCTTATTTAGTCTTCTTAGTGATGCCTGGTAGATGCTATTGTGCCCCCATTTTACAGATGTGAAAACTGAGGCTTGGAGAGGTCTATGTAGCTCAAGTCACATTCTAGGGTGTCTGAGCTGGGGAGTCAGGAGTGCATGTTCTCAAAAGCCATATAGCTTTTCAACACATTTAAAAGGAAATGTATTGCTGTGACAATTGTGAAAGATATAATGGAAAGATGTTAGAGGAATTTGTGAAAGCAAGACGGTAAGACCTGTAGAGAAGTTAGACAAGGTTGCTTCTCTCTCCGTGACCAACCGACTCCATTGACCCTGGCCTGGGCTGGAGCCCCACTGTCGGGGCCTGGCCAGGCCCTTCTTTGCAACCCTGAACTACAGGGCTGGGCAGTTTCACTCTTCAACTCCTAAAACCACCTCTACACCAGATTAGACATGGGCAGATGCTTCCAGGTCAGTGAGAGGTGGAGCAGGGGCCAGCTTCCCTCCCAGCTCCTCCCTCTCTGTCCAGGGCCCTCAGGCTGTGCAGCTGGCTGGGGGTGGGGGTAGTGTGGGGGGCACTGCTGAGATGGGAGCTGGCCCTGGCTGCAGTTCTGTGAGCACCTCCCAGCATCCTCCTTGGTGCCACATACTTTCCTGATACCTTTCAGCTTCCCCGAGCCCATTTCTGGAACAGAGTGGATCCACCAAAGGCCCTTCGTTTCCTCTGTCAGGCTGTGAGCCTGAGCATGGCCTTAGGAGGCTATTGAAGAAAGCTCTTGGAGCAACACAAGGCAGATAGGGCAGGGCCTGGCTGGGACTGGGGCAATAAAATAAAATGGCCCTTTGCCCCTGATTTGAATGAAGCTGGACCATAAACCTACAGGGGCTAGCATTGCCCACCATGCTGGAGGCTATGGGTCTCTAGCCATGCACATTGCTTGTGGCTGTTGGCTTTTCCCTCCTTTCTGGACCTCTGTGCCGCCTCTGTCATACAGTGGGAGAACTGGACCTTGAGCCTTGAGACCAAGGCCTGCCCCAGGCCGGAGGAGAGACTATGGTTGTATGATGTGCATGGGGCCCATGAATCCTCTGCTGGGGATGCACAAGGCCACTGCCAAAATCACCATTTTCTGCACCCACACCACAGTGTTAGCCCTCTCCCATTAGCGCATCAGCACCAGTTCAAAAAAAGTTCTCAGACACACAAGCTGTCATCTGAAACAGTTCAGCACTTGGAGAGGTGGACCCTAGGACAGGCGAGTTTGGATGCTGGAGGCAGGGAGGGGGTGTGGGGTGCAGCACAACAGAGCGGGTTCTCCAGGGCCATCCATGGGAACATTTGGGGAACTAGTCTTTTTTCTTATCCTTAGAGTTTATTGAGCACTTACTAAGTGGCAGGTACTTTATAAAAATGCTTTAATCTTGACTTTTAGGAAGTGCTATTACTATCCCCATTTGACAGCTAAGGGAACTGAAGTTTAGGGAGGTTAATCTGATACATCCTGAGGTGCCTGCTCATCATCACGGGATTACCCTTTCCCACTTATGCCTGAACTTCATGGACGGTGCTGCTTGTCGGTGGAACTTTCTCATTTGGGAGGTGCTCAGGGTCCCCTTCAAGGTAGTAACCTGTAGGGCCCAGGGATTTTGGGTGTTTTAGTAAAGCTCCGTTCCTGAGGAGGCTTGGAACCAGGGCTCTGTCTGGGAGACCTGAGCAAACACAGGTGTGTTTTTGTCTCCCAGACCACTGGCTTCCCCAGGAAATGCGGCTGGCTGCCTTCAACAGCACTTTTCCTCTTTCAAAAGCGGTGTCTTTTTACAAAAGCAGCCTCTTCCTCCTTCCTCTCACCCCCACCCCCCTCCACGACTGAGCAGTAAACAGTGAGATTTCACAGCCCCCAGCTGGGTGGTCGCTGGGCAGTTCCCACCAGGACCCTGGCCATGTTGGACTTAAAAGTGTCCTTTTGAGTTGCTGGGGCTGACCCAGTTTCCCTTGAGGCAGCAGAACACCTGAGGCTGAAGGTTTGGTGTGGGCTTGGAAGGGCTACCAGAGCAGGGTGCTGTGGAAATGCAAGATGGTGGTGGACGGACTCCCGCACCCCCATGTGAAGGTGCAATTTGGTGACACTGGGCAAATGTGCACATGTGGACAGATGACAGCCAGGAGAGAATATGCAAAGCCAAAGTAAATTCTGTTGATTTTAAAGATTGAAAAATTCTTTAATATTTTTGTACCAGCAAAAAAAGTTAGGACAAAATGAAAACAAAAGCTAGGGACCCCCTTGTCTCCTGCCAGGTTTGCAGTGCCAGCTGAAGAGGAGGGATGCCCAGTATATAGTCTTTCCTACCCTGCTTCGCCCCTTTCCTCTGAGCTGTTCTTTGTGTCCAGAGGGTCCCTGAGGGCGCTGCCTGTCCCGTCACTCCCTGCCCTCCTCCATGTAGCATCACCTGCAGGGTGTGGTTGGATGTCCCAGGACCCTCCCAGCTTTGAATCACTTCCTTATGTGTCCCTTTATCCAGCTGCCTGATTTTTACACCCACTAGAATGCTGCACCCACTAGAATGCTGTTCACTGCTCTGTCCCTGATTCGGGACATAAAGGCAAACACTGAGTCCCTACCCTCATGAGCCCCCATTCTGGGCCATGGAGCTGACAAGCAGCCAGGAAATGACCATGCAGTGGGGTATGGGCAATGATAGGGTGAGTACAGGGTGCTGTGGGCTCTGAGTGCCCAACCCAGACAGAGCAGGTGGCTGTCAGGAAGGCCTCCTGGAGGAGGTGATGTCTTTGCCCAGTCTTGAAAGATGCCAAGCAAGATGTAGAGGGCGTTCCAGGCTGAGGAATCAGTATATGCCCCCTGCCCATCTCCAGTCTGTGTGCCAGTCTTCCCAAAGCTCTGGGCTAGCAAATGTACCCCGATTCTCTTTATCATAGGGGCGATATGGCCTACAGAGTGGAGATGTGCTGCAGGGAGGGAGAGGTATCCTGCGTTGGTAAGTTACTAGTGAGACATGATTTAAGGATGAGGCCCACAGCTAGGGGGTGTCATCATAGTGTCCCTTCCTCCCCACCTGTGTGGAGTGATAGCTCCCATCTCTGTCCCTCCTCCTCTCGCTCACAACTCTTGCCTGTAAATCTAAGCAGCCATTTCTTTTCTCCTAATAATCACTGGTGTGGTATTCCTCCCTCCCCCTGTCCACTCATTGACACTCACTTTGGAGTTCCCCAGGGCAGGAGGAAGGGGTGGGGGTCATGAGTCTAGTGACCTTCCATAGGGGGAGTGGTATTTCTAGTGTGGCTACAGCTGTTATGATGAATAATATACTGCTTACCCTTGGCACTTTGCAGGGCAGGCAGGAAGAGAGCTGGATGGCCCTGCTGTTGGGTAAGCCCCATGTAATTGGTAGTACCATTGGGTGCAGTGAAATATGCAGTTGCCAAAGAATGGTTTGGATCTGAAGCAAGAGAGCGCTTCCCTCTGATTGCCATGGTCACAGCATTTTAGCTGGAGGTGTGAAATTGAAGTGCTCATGTTTGAGTTATTCTGTTTTTTGTTTGAGCCACCAGGTGGTGCTGTTGACACAGGACAGCTTGGTTGGTGTCCTGCATGCTTATGATCTGCTTAATAGGGAAGTAGCTACAAAGTTGATGGTCTTTGCATTTAACCTCCTTCCCTTTCTGGAATTTTTCTTCATGCTTCTGCAGCTTAAGGTGCCCCTGCCCCCCCTCCCCCCAAAATACACACATATACACATTGGAGCACTTACCTTTCCTTCTTAGCCTAACACCGTGTCGCTGAACTTTGTCCTCAACAAAACTTCTAAATTTAATCCTAGCTGCTAAGTGAGAAAGGATTCAATAAACTAATTTGCCCAATGGTGTCTACAGGGCTTAATATGTTACCTCTGGGTTACTCTGCCTTAAAATGTGAAGATTGAAACTAAGTCTTCTAACCTAAGAGGCAAATTGTTAAGAATGGAATTGTGGTGCTTCTGAACGTGGGTGGAGATGATGTTTGTGGAAGAGGGTTGGGAGGGGAGGAGTTAAGGGAGGGTGCTGCTTCCTCCATCCCACTGGTGCCCACCTGTGCTGCGGGCTCTGTGTAGGGCACCTGCACTGTTGCCCTGTGGGGAGCTCACCGCTTGGTTGATGGGGTGAAGACAACTGTGCGGGAGAACCATGCTGAGAGGTTCTGTGGGCTCTGCTGAGTGACAGTCCACCTCCCTGGCCCTGTTAAGTGGCTTATCTGATGAGGATGACAACTCTACCCCCCAGTACCTTACACAGAATAGTTGGCATGGGGCAGAGGGGTCCGTCAAGGCCCGTGTTGAGACTTGTGGGGAGACTGACCACTCACTCTTCTTCCCTTTGCCCAGACGTTCACGGCATGGTGCAACTCCCACCTCCGGAAGGCGGGGACACAGATCGAGAACATCGAGGAGGACTTCCGGGATGGCTTGAAGCTCATGCTGCTGCTGGAGGTCATCTCAGGTGAGGTGGACCCCTGACGCAGGGTAAGGTGCTGCCTTCTGAGTTCCACCCTGACACCTGTCCTTCTGCTGTGCCTGTGGTTATAGCCAGATTTGGGTCTCTTGAAACAAGCTGGGGATGACTTGCGTGAACTCAGACTAGAGGACTGGGTCTCGGTTCTGGGTCTGATGCTGACCATCTGGTTGTATCGGACAAGTCACTTTGTCTTTCTGTCTCAGCATCCTCATTTGCAAAAAAAGAGGGATTTGAAGGATGATCTCCATGGTTCCTTCTCCTGAAAAATGTCAGGGTTCTGTGACCAGGAATGTAACTATGGGAGACCGTCTCTAAACCTTGGCTCCACTACTACCTATCTCCCTGAATCCAGGTGCCCCCAGTCCATTACCCAGCCCCTAGTTTGTCCACATGTCTGGAAGGACATCTCAGCTTTCTCGTGGATACCTTTCCTCCACCGTTCCCTTAAAGGTGGGTGGTCCCGGAGAGTCTGGCCATGGTTTATACTCTGGCAGTTTTAGCTGCTGTCTTCATTTTACCTTCCGTCTGAAAGCCAATGCATCTTGGACCTAATCTCAGCCCAGACCTCTCCTTCTGACTCCCTCTTAAATACCAAGCCTTGTTGGGCATCTCCACCCAGGTGTTCCACAGGGTCCTCTCGGCACGTCCAGAACTGTACTTGGCAACCCTTTTTCCTCCTGCAGCCTTTGTCTTGTTCTCCCAAACCTAACGTGGGAGTCGCAGACGGCTCTTCCTGTGCTCTTCCTTCCAGCTTGGCATTCCTGTTCTACTCATTCTGTTTCCTTCTTCACAGTCCTTCTTTTCACCTCTACTACTGTGGTGCCAGTGTGGGCCCGTGTCGCCTCTCACCTAGATGACACCACAAAGGCATTAGGCCTCCCAGCTCCCCTTGCAGTCCATCGTCTACACTGCAGCCAGAGGGACTGTGCACCAGCCCAAATATGGTCATGCAGCTGGGTGCTCAGAACCCTGCCTGCAGCCCATGTTCCTCAGCATAGCCCGCGGGGCCCTTTGAGCGCTGGCATCTGCTGTGTTTTCAACTAACTATTCCCCAAACCGTATCAGACCTCAGACCCTCTGCCACGTTCTCCCCACATGACATGTACCCTCGGTCTCTGTGACTTCGCACAAGCTCTAACTGCCTTTGTTTTTGCTTTTGTTTTTTTATAGTTGCTTTCAGGTGAAACCGATGTCTGTGTGTGGGGTATTTTTTTTTGTGTGTGTGTGTGTGTGTGTGTGTGGTAAAACATATGTAACAAAATTTACCATTTTAACCATTTTTTAAGTGTACAGTTTAGTGGCATTAAGTATATTTATAATGTTGTGCAATCATCACCACCATCTATCTCCAGAACTTTTTCATCATCCCAAACTGAAACTCTGCCCCCATTAAATAGTAACTCCCCAATCTCTCTCCCTCCAGCCTCTGGCAACCACCATTCTACTTTACTTTGTCTCTCTGAATTTGACTCCTAGGTACCTTATACGAGTGGGATTATACAGTATTTGTCCTTTTGTGTCTGGCTTATTTCACTTAGCATATTGTTTTCATGATTTATCCATGTTGTAGCTTGTGTCAGATTCTTTATTTTATTTTATTTTTAAAAGATGACTGGTAAGGGGATCTTAACCTTTGAAGTGGTGTTGTCAGCACCACGCTCTCCCAAGTGAGCTAACTGGCCATCCCTATATGGGATCCAAACCCGAGGCCTTGGTGTTATCAGCACCACACTCTCCCAAGTGAGCCACGGGCCGGCCCTCAGATTCTTTTTTTTAAAGCTCAATAACATTCCATTGTATGTTCAGCCATTCTTTTGTCCGTAGACACTTGGGCTGTTTCTGCCTTTGGCTTTTGTGATAATGCTGCTGTGGACATGGGTGTACAGATAAATATTTTTTTGAATCCCTGCATTCATTTCTTTTGGGTATATACCCAGAAGTGGAATTGCTGGATCATGTAGTAATTCTTTGTTTAATTTTTTTTTAGGAACCAACATGTTGTTTTCTTCTAACTGCCTTTAAGAATGTCCTTTCCTACCTCCTTCTCCATCATTGCCCTGTTAAAAACAAACAAACCTGGCATTATTGTTTTTCATTCTTCAAAACTCAGCGTGGGGGCTTCCTCCAGGAAGGCTTCTCTGACCCCTCTCCTCCGATCCGAGTTGGTTCTCCCTCCACCCCACCCCCGGTGCTAAAAAAAACCGCATTAATTCTTCTGTCATGTCATTTACCCCAAGGTATAATCATTTTGGCTCACTTGTTTTCTTCCCCACTCCATACTGAGCTCCTGGGGCATGCACTGTCTTATCTCTGTGTCCCATTTGCTTAGATTGGTACTTGGCATGTAGGTGATGCTCCACAAATACAGGAATGACTGGATGCCCAGAGGTGGGCATGTCTGCACGGCCCCCAGTGTGTGCCTGCTGAGCAGGCTCGGCCTGTGCCCGAGGGGAGCACGTGAAATTCTGTTGAAGCGTGTGTGTCTCTTTCCGGGGGCTGGAGATCTAGTCACCCAGATATTGCCTTTTCCTCTTGAGTGTCTTTGGAGATGAGTAGGATGCCAGGAGTGTGAAGGAGGAAGGGAGTACTGCCTACAGAGGTTCTCACAGTGTGGTCCTTGGACCACCCACACCAGAATGAGCAGGACTGCCTGTCAAATGCAGATTCCCAGCACCAACCCAAACCTCCTAAATCAGGAACTTAAGGGGAGGGGGAAGAGGGTGGGACATCTGCGGTTTAGCAAGTTCTCCAGGTGATGTTGTGCTGACTAAAGTCAGAGATCCACTGGCCCAGCCAGGGAAGCTTTTCCTGTGCTCCTGTGCTTAACCCTTTCCCCTCCACTGTCCTTGTGAAGAAGTCCTATTCCAGCCATTGTGCACAGGTGGCCAGTGGCTGGGAGCTCAGGCTTAGCAGGACCCCAGGGCCGGGGGCGTAGGCAGGAGCAGCCTTCTAGGGAGGGACTTAGGGCTGCCTCTGTTCATCCTATGGCATCACCCCTGGAAATGGGGGAGTACCTTGCTGGGCAGCAACCACCACCTCGGGACAACCACAAGTGGAGAGTCAGGATTTAATTAAAAAACAGCTGTGCTTCCTTGGGAGCCAATAGCCAAATCACATCTGTGGCAGGAAGTCTGCCCTATTCCAGAAGCTGGGGGGCCGTTGGGAGGCCACCCGGGGAAGTACTGCTCAGACAGGGTGGGCCTGGCCCAGGATCATAGCTGCCGGCCCCTTGAGTCCTCTTGGCCAGAAGGTGATGTGCTAGGGAGGCGGCTGGCTGGTCTGGACACGATGGCAGGCACAAGGATGCTGAGTTTCAGGCTTTAGGACGGAGTTCTCAGCCTTTGGGGTTCTTGACCCCACAGCTCTGAGAGCTGTGTGCATCTCCCCTCAGTATGGCCACGCGTGTTGCACTCACACATTTCTCACATTGTTTCAGGAGATCCCTGAATGTTCTGTTCTGGGGTAAAAGTGCTCTTGATGGGGTATTTGGAGAACCAGCCCCCTTGTTCCCTGCAGCTTCTGACCTTGAAACCTGAGCAGCAGAAGCTCCTCTGGAGGCAGGAGGTGGGGGTGGGGGAATTGGGGGCTGAGTGAGGGTGGAGGCTTGACTTGGAGCTGAGCCACGGGTATTCACAGGGACGCAGGGTAGCAGGACAGGAGCAGGGGATGCTGTAGGCAACTCCATTTAAACACCAGCGAACTTTTCCAAAATACTCTAGGGTGACCTACGTCCCTCCTAGGGCAAGAACAGGCTGGACTAGAAGGAGTTCAGGGTCTTTGTGTGTGAGGCTCCTTCTGCCTTGATCACCATTCCCTGCAGACTCTGCCTGGCTGCAAAGTCTCCGGCCTTCCCTGCCGCTCCTCAATTCCTCCTTCTTCTTCCTCCTCCTCCTCTTTTGAAGAGCATTGATCCTTCTTGGTATTTGTTCACTGTATGCATTTATCTGTGTTTTTCTCTGTTTAAGGTCTGTCTCCTACTGGGCTGTAATTATACAAAGGCTAGAGACTGTTTTTTCACCCCCATATTCCTAGCACCCAGCTAAATCTCTGGCATATATTAAGGGCTTCATAAATATATATTGAGCAGATGCAAGCAGGTTTAGATCTGAGAAGTGGAAGAAAGAAAATGCAGGTAGGTGCTCCCTCTCATTCCCTGCCATGGTGGCATTCTCCAGCACCTAAGAGGCATGCACACACACGTGTGCACACACACATGCACACCTAAGATGTGCCTTGGATGAAGGTGTTGTGAACATAGCCCTGGCTCCTGGGTGCCAGCATCTCACCTTCCTGTTCTTTCCTCTTGATCCAATCAGGTGAGCGCTTGGCCAAGCCAGAGAGAGGCAAGATGAGGGTGCACAAGATCTCCAACGTCAACAAGGCCCTGGATTTCATAGCCAGCAAAGGGGTCAAACTGGTGTCCATTGGGGCCGAAGGTGAGTAAGGTCTGCCCCTGACTGCCCTCAGGAGTCTGGTCTTCTGTGTCCTCCTGGTTTCCTTGGCCTTTTCCTCCCTGACTTCAGGGCCCACATATGTCTGGGGCATTTGGAGGTGTGTCCCCAGCACCTCCATGTGGCTGGCCTGTGGTTTTCTCATTTAACAACAGCACTTTCCTTCCTGTCCCATTCCTGCCCACCCCCGCCCAGCCAAATGCTTGCACTATGGAGTCCTGCGTGTGCGTTTGGCTGCCTGAAGCAGAGAATGCTGTGGGCTGGGGACGGTGTGCAGACCCTGGCGGGTGGGGCTGGAGGCTGCCCTGAGGCTCCACGGCGCCTGGGAAGACTGATGCCCAGAAGCCTCTAGCAACATTGTTAGTGGCATTTATTTCCCTGCAGTGTAGCTTCTTGGCTCTGTTCTTTTCACTTAGAAAAACTTTTCCTAAAACTGTTTGAACTGTTAGCATTTTCTTCATGATTAAAAGAAGAAGGTAGCACTATTTCTTATGTACATTGTGGTGGCTCTGAGGATTTGGGGTGGATTGAGGTGGTTAGAATACTCTAACCAGGTCCCTTCAGTACTGTGACCCATGGATGCACCAAGTATTTATTGGGCAATTGATGTGTGATGCCAGAGATTAAAGATGAATAAGACACGGTCTCATTCATTCAAGGACAGAACCATGACCGTGAGTATTGAGCGTGCACTCTGTGGCAGCTACTGTGCCGAAGTCCTTTACCCCAGTGACTTAATCTTTGCAGCAACCCTATGACACAGCTCTAATTATCACTCCCCTTTTATGATAAGAAAACAGATGCTTGAAGAGATTACGTTATTGCTCAAGGTTTCATCCTCAGTAAGTGGCAAAGCCAGAACTCCAATCCAGATCCATGTGACACCAGAGAAATGCCCCCAGAGCATGGCCTTTCCTTGGGGAGGGTAGTAGTCTTGCTCCTGGTAAGTCCATAGGAGCGGATCTCTTCTTGGGTTGATGCTTAGAGTCTCCTTTCTTCTAGAAACTGAGGGATTTTACATTGATACATCAAACTGAGAAACTTGTGTTTTCTTTTTTTATTGAAACATAGTTGATTGTACACATCTGTGGGGTATAGCGGTGAATATCAGTACCTGTGTGCAATACGATGCTCAAATCAGGATAATTAGTATATTCAACATTATACAGTATATTCAACATTATACAATATAATCGTTTTTTGTGGCCCATTCCTCCTTTACCTCCGTCCTTCCCCTTTCCCACCTCTGATAACCTCAGTTCTGTTCTCTCCTTTTGAACAATCAACATATTATTGTGATTGTTGTATCTCTTTGTAATGTATTTCAAACTGAGAAACTTTAGCCCAGGGGTTGGCAAACTACAATGCATGGGGTCAAATCTGCTGACATGAGTTTTCGTAGATACCAGAACCATAGTCATGCCTGTTTGTCTACATATTATCTGTGACTGCTTTCGTGCTACAGTGGCAGAGTTGAGTGGTTGCTACAGACGACATGTGGCCTGCAAAGCCAAAAATATGTCCCGTTGGGCCCTTTACAGAAAAAGTTTGCTGACTCCTGTCCTATCGAGAACTTAGACTGGTACCTGAGGTGGTCACACACGGTGCCTTATGGACCATGACACCCCATAGTTGTGAGCTTCTCATGGGCAGAGACCACGTCTTCTACATCCTGTGCCCCTGACTCCTAGCAGTGTGATGCGTACAGTAGGTGCTCAGTAAATGTTCAAAGGACTTGCACATAGCAGGATCCTCTGCAGTAAGAAGAAAAGAGTGTTCTGTTAGGGAGAGATATAGACTCAGCAGAAAGACTTTTAACTAAGCAGGCATGGGAAGCCAAAGAAAATGCTGCTTAGGTGGCCTGGTGCAATTGCAGATGCCCACCAGGGCAGGGAAGTAGAGAATGTGTGAAGTGGGCTGGGGTGAGCGGTAGGGATGGGTGGGGACTGTGGTGAACTGGAGAAAGCATGTCCTAAGCAGGGTAGGTGCCGTGTAGACCTAATCAGTTGTTGCAGTGTGGGACGATAGGTCCAGCATTGCTATGTCTTCCAGTTTTTCAAAAGGAGCCAGAAATCCAGATTTTTCATAAGGAAAATTTGGCAATTCACTTAGAAAAAGAAAAACGTAAAAAGACTCTATCAAAGGGAAAGAGGGAAGGGGAAAGTGGACGAGGATAGCACTTACTTCATAGCAGCTCTGTGCCTGGCTAGATTAGCTACTGCTACCCTCACGGCAGGCTTGCAGGATGGGAATGACCAGCCATGTTTTATAGTAAGGGAAACTGAGGCTCAGGAAAGTCACTAGGGTGGAAGAGTGTGGTCAGTGGAGCCCAGGCTGTGAACTAGACTGCTTATATGCAGCAGAGCCAGGGTTAGCCACAGGATTCGCACTGAGGACTCTCCCCACCACCTCTGGGCATTGCTGCCTCCCCAGTGGGGCCCCGACAGAACGTTTATGTCTGATTTTCCTCAGTAATAAAATGGCAGGTCAAGTCTGTGGTGTTGCCTCTGCAGAATGGAGAGGAGGAGCAGAGAGGGACACTGGCACGAACTCGAATCTTACCACCTCTGCGGTGCCAGGGAAGTCACTTAACCTAGCTTCTCCCGGTTTCCCAGTCCCTTTCATACAGGTCTAGCTTCTCCAAAGATTTTTACAGGTTCCTTTCAAGTGAGATGTCGTTGACTTTCTCTGCCCTCGTGAGCTGGTGTTTTTAGCGGAGGCTTCCTGGTTTGAGATAATCAACCCTATTTCAAGCTGAGCACCAAGATCATGCTGGGGTGGTGGTTCTGATGAACCAAGAAACTAAAAGAGGCATCAAATGGGTCTGTCATTTTTAATGAAATGAAGCTTACTGCTGTAGACTATAAAATAAAAGGCAGGGGAGCGATCACTTGGAACAAGCTCTCCTGGAGGTGGGGGGGGGGAACATTGCTGGTTGCCCTGATAGAGGGCATCCGGGGCTCCAAAGTCTGTGCTGTGGGGACCAGGCCCGGTGGGGCAACCTCCCCTGGGCTTTTTGAAGAATCATCATGTGCTGCGAGGACTGGATCTCTGTTCTGGCTGGGAAGAGAGACCCTTGGGCAGGCCGATTCTGGGTGACATGCTGATCCTTGGGGAATGGAATGGGTGTTCTGCGAAGGTCAGGATTGCCTGTCCTCGAAGGTGTTCAGAGGGAGGTTGGAGGGCCGGCCCATGGCTCACTCGGGAGAGTGTGGTGCTGACAACACCAAGGCCACGGGTTCGGATCCTATATAGGGATGGCCGGTTCGCTCACTGGGTGAGCGTGGTGCTGACAACACCAAGTCAAGGGTTAAGATCCCCTTACCAGTCATCTTTATTAAAAAAAACAAAACAAAACAAAAAAACAAATGGAGGTTGGAGGCCTCATCGGGGATGGATTAGAACAGATCCTCATGATTTCTTCTATGATACTTGCTTCTATAATGTCTGAACTGCACGGAATTGAGACTTGGCCTGGGTGAGTGGTTGGGGTTTAACCACGGGAGAGGACCCGAGAAGGATTTTTCATTTTAAGATCTCTGGGCAGGGCAAGCCTGATGGTTTGGGTGCCGAGAGCCTGGGGGTGGTCTTGATGATTTAGCATCTGTCTTCAGGATGGAAGGGGCAGTGGGTGCAGTAGCCAAAGCAGTGGACTGGGAGGTGGTGGCCCCTGGGTTCTGTCACGAGGAATTTCTGCAGCCTCATTCATTCTGTCGTCTGACGGATGGGCAGATTGACTCCGTCCCTAGCCTGGGGACGAGGGAGAAGTATGTGTTCTGAGTAAACACAGGATGCGAGCAGCCCTGTCGCCAGCTGTAGACCAGGCCTGGCAGACACACGCCACTGCTTCTCCCGTACCCGTGGCAGACGTTGTTAATCTATCATCACGGGTTTTCCCCCAGACCCCAGTTGTGGCCTTGGAATCCTCCATGTGGGCCAAGCAGCCCCCTGACATAAAGCTGCCTGAGATGGGGTGTCCCTGTTGCAGAGATTGAGAGGCCTTGAAGAAAGGACCTGTTGTTCTGGGGAGCAGGGAAGGAGAGCCGTCTGGGAGGGTTACCCTCTGAGCATGGGAGAGAGTCAGGCGGGAACTGGACTGGGGAGCATGGCAGTTAATTGGACACACCCCACTCTCTTTGCCTGTGCTTGGCTACTCTGTTTTTTGGAGTGAAACTGCTTTTTTGGTATATGTGAGAATTCAGTAAGCAAAAATTCCTGGAGGGTGCTGGGGGAAGGAGGAGAGGGGTAAGTAGATAAAACCTGGAAGAGAAGCCACCTCTTCCCTTAGTGCTGGGCGGGCTCCCAGGAGAGCAGCTCTGCAGGTACTGAGCTCAGGCCACTGGGAGGCCAAGGGATTTGGCCTTCACAGAGGGGGCAGCCAGCACTGCAGCCCTGCTCCTAGAAAGGCCACGGTGCAGGATTATCACTGGGAGCTTTTTTTCTAGGCTTAAAATATTCCTTTTATATTTGAAATGCTGTCCATACAATTTTGTATCTGCTTTTTCCACTTTCTGTATTATTATTACTATTATTATTTTGGCAGCTGGCCAGTACGGGGATCCGAACCCTCAGCCTTGGTGTTATAACACCACACTCTAACCAACTGAGCCAACTGGCTAGCCCCTGCTTCCTGTATTATAAAGATTTTTCCCAGTCCTTAGAAATTCATGAATGTAATTTTTAATGGCTGTGTTAATCTTCTATTTGTTGAGCACAGTTGGGCTCTGTTCCAGACCTGGGCCCTGCCCTGGAAGATACTGAGTCACTGTTGTGTTCGGGGACCAGTGACAGGCTGCCCATTCACCCACTTGTGGTTAGGGCCTGGCAGTGTTCATTCATTCATTCATTCATTCAGCAAATGAGGATGAAGGACTTTCTCAGTGCCAGGCTCTAAGCAGTGATGCAAAACAAAAAAATCCTCACCCTTGTGGAGCTTACATTCTGGAATGGGGAGAGAGAAAATACACATACCTATGTCAGATGGAGAAAACTAAAGCAGGGAGTGAAGTAGGTGGTCAAGGAAGGTGTCAGGGAGAAGGCGAGATGTGAGTGGAGACTGAGGGGGAAGTGAGGGACCAGCCATGTGGATGCCCAGGGAGAGGGAGCTGCAGAGGCACCAGTGTGGGTGGAAGGAGCCCCAGGGGTTTCACTGGACACCAGCTTTGATTCTGAGTGAGGTGCGAAGCCATGCAGGTTTTGAGTAGAGGGATGACAGGTTTGGGGATCTACTCAGTCACTCCTTGTACCTCGTACATTCACTTTCACCTAATTTCCAATTTGGGGCCATGATACATAGCCTCGCACCAAGCACACTTATACAGAAACCTTACTCTGTGTTTTAGGTCATTGGGGACAGGTTCCTAGAGATAGAATTTCACTGTCAAAAAGTTGAACAACTTTTTGATGCTGTTGCCAAATTATTTCCCAGCAGGTTTTTTTTTTTAAAACCAATTTACACTTCTAGCTGCAGTGTGGTAGCCTTGCTAGCATCAAGGTGTTGCATGTGTTTTTAACTTTGCTAATTTAACAGCTGGGAAAATGGTATCTGATTTCTTTGATTACAAGTGAGGTTGAACATTCTTGTGAATTAGTTATCTGTATTTCATGTTTTGTGATGTCTGTTCATGTCTTTTGCCTATTTATCTTTTGAGAGTTTAGACTTGTTTTATCAACTTAGATAAACTCTTTCAGTGTTCCAGATGTTAAACCACTGGAAATCATGAATTGAAAGTGCATTTTTAAAATACCAGAGCTTTGTGAACTGATTCTTAATGGGTGATTCTCCCTCCCCACAGTGCGTTCTGCAAAGTGCTGAGTTACTTGTTTATGAAAATCGTTGTGTGCGGCCGCAGCTCAGTTTCTCTCTAACGCATGCCCTTGGACATGGGGCTGTGTCTTCTTGCTGTCTGGGGCTCTGGAGGGGCATTTGAGCCTCCCCATTAGTAGGAAGAATTACATCCCATCTCGTGTCCCCAGTGGACACTGCTCTTCCTTTGTCAGCACCTGAAGCAGACCCTGCAGTGTCACCTGCCCCCGGAAGCAGCTGTGTCACCGCTCTCTGCTCTGTACCTTGGTGGCCATCGAGCAGCATGAGATTTTGCCCTCACTTTCAAGAGCTAGAATGTTTGAGTGCAACTTCCTTAATGGAAATCCACTCTTTTTTTCAGGGGCTTGTGGAAGGCAAAGCCTAGTGGATGAAGGCTAAGGAAATCAGTACTGGGCCGGCCCGGTGGCGCACTGCTACAGTGCGCCGCTTGGGAAGCGTGGTCGCGAAATGTTAATCTTATCCAAAAGACCCCTTCACAGAAACATCCAAGAATAATGTGTGACTAAATATCTGGGCACCATAGCCCAGCTTGCTGTTTTTAGGTTTCTTTCTTTGTCTCTGACTTTTGCCAGTTTGACA